AATCTTGATATGTTGATTGAATAGGAAATTTTGATAACCTATTTTTAGAAAGTTTCTGCTCGTATTTTGCCCCCCGGTCATCATCACTTCCCAAAATACCCACCGCATCATTTGATGACTCATTGTTAGAAGAGGCGTCACTTTCACTGGTGCCCCCAAGGCTTCTGCTTCCGCTTTTACCTACACTATCACTATTGTTACTTTCACTATCACTAGAGATACCTGCTGGTCCTTTAGAGTGATCAGGGGCGTTTTTCTCACCATAGTCAGGTGAAGTTTGGATTATATCTACTTTTTCTAAGGAAGTTAATGCATCTTCAAGATTATAATTTAACTGTAATGGCCCTTCCAATGCTTCAGTATCAGCTCTTAACGGCAAGCTAGATTTTGGAGCAGTATCTTCATGCTTATTATGGCTAGGTGGTTTGTGGCTATTATTCTCTTCGGGAGAACTGGAAAAGGAAAACAAAACATCACAACCACCGAATATTGCATTGACAAAGATATATACCATGAATAGCTGCAATACCATAAAATTGTCAAAATCAAATGGCTTTACTGGCAAGAGAAATTCTGATATTATAATAAGAGTCCAGAAAAGGAATCCTCAAGTAATAAGCCACAGTGCCACCAGGATCCCATTAAATTAAATCAATTTTGTGAAGCTTAGGAAAAATGTTACTCTAAGCCTCTAAGGAACTCAGACAGTTCAACAAAATGGTAGCAACTACTCCGTATTATTCATTTAAGATAATTGCAGTATATCCGTCAGATGAAGAGTCAAGGAGTTGATTTGGAGGAGACGTCCAATCAAAAGACAAAGCCCCTTTATGATTAGAAAACCCTTGTTTCTTCAATAGGGTTTTCGAGGTAAATCACCCAACAACAACAACAACAACAACGACAACCCAGTATAATCCCAACTCTGTTGGAGTCTAGGCAGAGAGGTAAATCACCCTAGGAAGTAGGAACTAAAAACGTTCACAGTACGAATATTGCCATAGACTTGAATTACTGAAGTCTTATGGGTTCTTCTAATAACAAACAAATCTTCAACTAAAGCTTTAATCCTATGATGTACTTCTTGGATTGGCATGCACAAAAAACAACACAAGCTTGAGGAATGTGAAAATACTAGACATTATACCTTCCATTGTTGATTGTTGATTTCTTGAGAGTTTCCATCTCAACTCCCGGTTTAAGAAAATATCTGCCTGGAGCCCGAAAGATTGCAACCTAATGTGAACAATATATTAGATGTTGCTAAATATGTACTCTGTAGATAACAATAGAAAAAAATAGCAGAGACAAGAAAATTACTATGGTATTTCTTTTATCCTTTTCCAATACATATTTATGGCGGAAGCCCGGACTTCATAGGAAAACAACACTAGTTATTAAATCATCACTTTACAATGAAATTACAGAGAGAGCTTTCCCTCTTTTACTCACAAATTATTCAAGTGATAACCTTTGATACAAACCTTTTTAAGCATGGTCTCAAATTGCCTTCCTGAGTTTGGAAAGGCCTCTCGAACAGCTTTCTCCAATGTCTAGTAATACAAAAATTCATTTATGTGATTCAGCTTAAAAGTTTTGATGACATATCATATATGAACACTCTCTACCATTCTATGCAAGGAAATAACAAGTCACAAGTAGAAAATATAGATGAGCGGATCTAACTCTCACAAAGACTAAGCTTACATTAATATATTTTCGAATAAAGTTCTTCACACACCTTGATGGTCATTCCATGTGATCCGTTGTCCATAAGGACAGTTGTCAATGTGCTCTGTAAATCACAAAGGTTGGAACTTGTGCTTTTCTTGCAACCAAATGAAGTAATTGTTGACAAACCAGATTTCTGAGAAGCTTTAGGAGTGCTTCTTGCTGCGCATGCATGATTGGAACAAGAACGAGAAATGCAAGACACATCAGGACTTTGGATAAAAAACCTAGAAGATCAACTCACGTACAGCTTACCATATGCTGGATGGAATACTTGGGGGAGAAAAATGCAACAAGAAACCAAGAGATTGAAATCTTAACTACCTGGAGGCGGTTCAAATTTTCTCTTTCTCTGAGGCGGTTGTTTGAAAGCCCTTTTACATGGATTTCCTGAAAGCTAAAGAGTTTCACTTTGGTGCAAATGTAAACTATTGTATTCAAAAAAACTCGTATCTTATAAAAAGTCATACTTGCCTCAGCAAGTTACAAATATGTAAATTTACAAATACTGGAGTCCAGAGAAAAGTTTTACCTTCTACTGCATCCATTGCCTTCACTTGACTATTTGTAGATGGATTGCGAGAGTCTAGAACAATGGTTCTGTTTCCAGATGCAAAAGCATGCAAATAGCATAAGGAAATATGGTTAGTGAGAATAAGCAAAAGCAGTTTACAAAAATTATTATAAAATCCAAAACTGATTGTAAGCAAACAAGTATTCAAGTAAACACAAAGGAAAAGATGACAAAAGAAGAATATACTTGCGTGATTTGGACTTGCGCTCAGCTTCCTCAGATAGCATTTTAACATGGTTTTTAGTTGATTCATCCAAAACACGTTGTACATTTACCTTTCTCCAAGCACTACCTGATTCTACAAGCAATCCATTTCCATCTTCATCACTTTGGCGTTCTTCATATATATCACAGAGGTCTCCCGTATCCCGTGACCATGTGAATCTGAAGTCTTTACCACCAACATTAATAACCTGGAAAACAAAATCAATTAATGCATTGAACAGCAGCCAATAAGCATGCTGGATCTATAAGATGAACTATTAAAATATTCAATACAACAAAGTTGTCACGGTTCTATCAAAGACAACCTTGAACCTTCAAAAATTCCTCTCTGTTCATCCTCCCAAGTATGAAGAAGTCATGTTCAATTCTTTTTAACAGGGAAAAAGATAAACAAATAATTAAGTCATATAAGATGCATAGTCCTCCGTGATAAACAAATAAAGCTGGGCTCAGTTTTCTGGTACAAGAGGTGTGACTTTCAGTCTGAACATCCCAAATATTGTCTTAATATTGGTTTGCACTAGATGAATTTCCATGGTGCTGAATAACATTACTCGAAACCAATTGAAGCCTTACAAGAAGATGGAGGATATAAGCTAGCAATTCATGCCTGAACTTAGAGACCCATCAATGACATGCCTCCCAAGATACTAACTTTGTAGCGCTAAAAGACAGTTTAATAAATGCTTCTCCCTAATGCAATAAACACCACAGAGTTGAACTCCGGGTATGAAATAAAAGTTCCATCTTCAAAACACATATTAGACTACAGAAATTGTGAAATACAAAGATGAACTGACATTCCCAGCAGAGTTACTGGCATTCGAGCCAAATTTTATATGTGTTGTAGCGCCATGAGCCTCCGCTCGCTTGATCTCCTCCACAAGGTCCGGCGTCAACCGAATAATTGTCGCAAAGTGAAAACGGTCCCCGGAAACGAGGCTAAAAATATCCTCTGTTGCATCGGAAGGAGCCGGAGGCGTGGAAGCAGCAGCGGCACTACGGTTGCGGGGACCAGCTACCCCATTGCCGAACGACAGGCGCCCACCAGGCGCGGCGGAAGACCTGCGAATAGCCGGCTGTTGGAAGTTGGATTTATTTTGGCGCTTGCCAGCGCCTCCCGCTCGGCCTCCGCCGCCACCGCGGCCGCGTTTTCGGGAGCCTCCGGATCGGGGCATCGTACTCGGGTTTAAGTTTTGTCACCTCCACTATAAGAAAAGACTCGTTTGGGTGTAGTGTTCATCAAAAAATTCTCAATTTAGTTTCTTAAATTATTTTTAAATAATTTAAGAAAAATAAAATTATTTGATTGACAATTGAGACTATAAAAAATGAATAGAAGACTTTATGTAGTGTTTGTTTTACACAATTATCAGAGTTTAATTTTAATATTTTGATAAAATTATCTAACACCAATATTTAGTTTTATTTAGTTTTAGAGTTTTAGTATATTAAATTAAAGTCATATTTTAGCATTAAAAGATTGAGAAATCTCATTTTGGTATATAGAACAAATTTTAGTTCTAATTGCACATGTATTCCATTTTTTTCTAAATAAATATGAAATCATTTTATTTTCTTAATAATATACTCGTAACTTTGTTTCTTTTAATTTTTTCGGACTTCAGAATCTTTTTTTTCTTTTCTACTCATTTTGAACATTTTTTATTATTTTTTACTATTCTATATTTTTTAAAAAAATTGAAACTTTAGCTTCCAACTTATCATGAAACTTTTTTTTAATTATAATTATAATTTATATTTTTCAAAATAAAATAGAAAAAATTCAAACCATGATTCAGTATAAATTTTGTGACAAGTATTTTGGGTATTGGTAATTATTAACGTAACAAGCCCAATGCAAGTATTCAGGCCCAATGAGGAGAAATGTAGCTGATCAAATTAAGTCCAAGTTGTGACCTGCAAATAAACCAAACAGGTGAATTGACCCAAATGTTACCTTAATCATCTAAAAACAAAGTCCTAAGATTGTCGACATTGATCATAAGGAGATAATGACTATTTCTATCTATTCTAAAATAAATTCATCTATGAAGTAATGAGGGATGAGAACCCTAATTGCTCAAGTTTGAAACATTGCTTTCTTCTATTCGTTCTCATACACAAAAATATGATGAAAGTCTAGTAATGAAGCAAGGAGGCCTCCAGGCTCGTACATCACAAAAATTCTTGGCACATTTGCAAGTCGAGTAAGGAGACACGAATGCCTCTGGGATTATGTCTCGAAACCCCTTGGTCCATTGGTTAACCTTTACTCCATTCATAACTTACAAGTTGGAATGAAAAACGACAAAACAAGAGGTAGAGAAGACAAAAGAAATTACCAATGGAAAATTCAAAAGCACAATACAACAATGAGCAGTACGACATTCTACGTAAATTGCCAATAGGTCAAATCACCACATTAGCCGAGATGCGGGCATCGGGCCTCAAGACACGACTACATGACAACTTGGACTCGAGTCTCGAGCACGAGTTGATAGGACTTCGAGATTAACTCAAATTTACCTATGGTAAATGACATCAAGCAAAACACAAAAGCTCGAGGGAGAGAATTCTGACAATTTCTTGTTCAAAATATTTATTCTCGGTTAATTATTTTAACGTTCGCTTGTCTTTCTAGTTTTTTGTATCTCTGTCGAACTCAGAAGTCATGTCATCCGACCAACATCACTATTCCAATGAATCAAAAGCAGTTCAAGCGTTCACATTGTGAAATATGTTGGGATTGTGTGTGCCCTCACACCCTAACCATGCATTATTATGATATTATTTGCTCTACGTCAAGCCCCACAGATTTGTTTTTAGGTATATGATGTATATCTCCCAAAAGCTCATACTAATAGAGTAAGCGAAAACCTAGCTATATATTTTGGTTCCTCTCTTCTAAATCATCCGGTGTGGGAATGAGGTGTTCTCCCAACAAACCTCTTCCTCAACTCAGGATCATACAACTTCTGAAAGATCAAAGGAAGAGCTCGATGAGATGAGATCATCTCAAACACGTGAATTGCTAACAATTAAAGAGGAAATCACTCGGCTATATAGAGGAGTTTTCCCACCAACAACCGAATATGGTGGTGGAGACACAAGAAGAACGGGGTATGAATTGAAGGAGATTGATAATTGAATTTGGTCTAAATGTGGTGTGTTATTGATGATAGTGTCATCAGTGTGAGGATTTTGTGTGGTTGTGCTTGTTTGACGTTGCTATATTCTTTTGTTGATTGGTATCTGTTATTGACTGAAAGCATTGCAAGGTATGGGACTTGTCCCACATCGATTGTATGGGCAATTGATGTGGGGTTTATAGACCAAATGGTCTGTAACAATATCTCCTAAAAAAATTCATATTAATAGAGTTGAGTAAAGGGCATAAATCATATATATATATATAAAGTAGGGTTTTTTAGTTGTATGGCTGACATGTGGACAATGACATGGCAGATAATTTTGATGACTAAGCTACTCCCTGCCAGGCTACCACAACACTCAATTTTGATCGGAAAATTTCATTTCTCTCAACCTAACCTTCTCCCTTTCTGTAACGTCTTGGTTTTCCCAGGAGAGGTCGGAGGTCTTCATCATCGATACGGGAATGGGCAAATTGTGCGATTACGACCCACCGCCCTGCCGCTACGGAAGAGCTGATCCTTACCATCATCACTCGCTACCTTCCCAGTACCCGCTGCCCTGCCGTAGTCCAATTACCAACACTCGAGCTGTCCAGCCACTGCAATTGATTATGGTATCTAAAAATTCCTAATTCCTTCTCCTTATTATACTTCGCTTGAATTCTAAATTTTAGGATTTTTTTAAATTGTGAGTATTCTTTGGATTTTGGATTATTTAGATGATGTGTTGGTGATTGATTTGCTGGATACTTGAATTATTGATGTTTGATACATAGTAAATGACAATTTTATATGTCAATTTGAAATTTTAAATTATCCATGTAAAACCTAGAGGAAAAAGAGCTGAAAATTTATCATCTCCAATGGTGTGAGTTGTCTCTGATGAGTTGTCTCCAACGGTGCTGCTCACTGGTGTGATACTCTATCAAAGTTATGTCCAGTTAATTTTACAGAAGCTTCAACATGCTCCTCATCTAATTCATTGTCATGCTTAATAGTATTTTCAATTGCTCTGGATTGAAATTCAGATCCAGTAGGCCTTAAGTCAGAATCTATTGCATATTTGCACACTGTTTTTGTGATATTCAACCTATTCTGGTATTAAGGAAAGACATGAGTCTATCGAGCTCATAATACAATCTTAGATTTTTAAAATTCAATATTTTAACAAGAAAAAGATTGACTATATTAGAAATAAACTCTATATACTCCCATGTCAGTTAAAAGAACACAACCTACAATCAGAGTATTACACAAATGAAGTGTGAATAAGCAAAATAACATTGGACAAATGTACTTCATGCGTCATACAACATCAAAATCTTATGATTCACATGAACACACAGAGCCAAAAAGTATAAAATACCCTATCCCATTACAAACATAAATGATCCAGTTATGTTAACTTGGCAAGTTAAAACAAAATACAGAGTACTCTATTCATCCTTGATTTTCCTTTGGCTTATTTTGCCTTTCGGGCACTTGACAGGAGAACCTCACATGTCTATACCTCACATGTCTTTACACAGTAGAACCTAATAAGAGTACTTGGCCTACTTGGGAATGCATGATTAAAAAGGTAAACTACCAATACGAATGGGTGTGTGAAGATTTGTACGCTTGGGGTATATTGGAGGGTTTGGAGAATGTTTGTGTTCACTATCTAATCAGCGTTGATTCTATATGTTAGCATTTAACAAACATGCTTCTTCTCAAGTGAAACTGCTCTTGGTTTGTTTCTAATTCAAATCTTTGATTTCTGCACCTTAGATCAAAGGTACGATTATATTTTGGCAAAGACGTGCTTGGGCCAGCGAAAATTCTTCTTCTTTCAAAGAGGTTTTTGTTCAACATTTGATGGGGCATAATTTTATATTTTACAGTATATTTGCTTCTCATATGAAATTGGGTATAATGGAGTATCTTCCATATTTTTTGAAATAGATTAAAATTATTTGTTGTGTAATTCAAATTTTCAGGCAACTTTGCAGTTGTTCCTTTGTATTGTTTGGCAGGCCTCTACTACCTTATACGTTCTCTATAGAGTAGAGACCTAAGCGTAGTGGATTGCCTGCTTGGTGTTTGTTGGGGAGTCCAAACGAGAAGTTAGCCGTTGATATGGAGGAAGCAACGGAACAGAAGAAGAAAAGCGAGACAAATAAGGTGGCAGTGCTACCATGGATGAGAAGCCCAGTTGATAATTCTGTGATTGATGAGTGCCCTCTCAACCATCTCCCTTTTCTTGACCCCAGGTTCCTTTTTTTCTGCACATTGAATTTTTTGGCATTGAAGATTTGAAGTACTCCATATTTGCATTTTGCTGAACTTGTGTGATAGGATATGTAGCGTGACATTCTTGAAGCTATTGGATTTACATTTTAGAATTTTTAATTGTTTATGGAATTCTGATTGGAAGGGCTCAAGAACTACACGCTGAACAAAAAAGTTCATTCTTTTCCTTTATAAACCTACTTTTACTTGCATTTGTTAGAGTTCATCTGAATTAGAGCAAGAAAGATGTAGCATGGGATACTGGAATTTAACATTTTGCATTGGCTTGAGGTAACCTACCATATTGTAATGAACATCACTCTGCACCAGATGTGAATCATAGGCTAGATAATGAAATCCATTCTTTGTTTCATTCTTTTAGGGTTATTGGTTTCAATTTTACCCAAATGTTGTAATTTCTGTTTTAGTCTTTTCCCTAATTCTCCAATTTTCATTCCTAAATGATTTTGTACATCTTCATTTTCAATTGTTTCATTATAGAACTCCAAGTTTTCTTCCTTCAACGTGGCGGCAAGTAAATCCTAAACCTGTTTCTTCTTTCTCTTTGTTCCATCTTTATTCAAATTTATAGTTATAATTTTATTTAGTACTTAAATTGTTATATGATTCAGAACAATTCCAAAAATCATTTACATTTTTACTTACCAATTACGATGATTTTGTAGTTAAAAATGGAATTGGTATTACTGTACGGTCTAGCATCTAGACTGCACAATGATACTCAATATGTGTTCGATGAATTGTCTTAGCGAGATAGAAGGTGCAGGATTGCAGCCATGCCATCTTAAAGCTCTTATTCTTTCCAGGATTGCCCACTCAAACTCTCTTATCAACTTTTATAGGAAACACAGGGATATGGTACGCCTTAAGTTCTCTAGCACATTTGATTTTTTTGTGCTCTAATGTTTTGATTCAATTCATTGGAAATCATTCGTTCAAGAAGATTCCTTGCCATAACACAATGTCCTCCCACATATTGTTTTGATTTCAATCATTCATTCATTCAACTTTTGATTTTTACATCTCTTACGGCTAGAAGTCTCTGAATCCATCTGAAATTTTCCTTCGTCTATAATGTTATTTCTACTGTTGCATGTACAATCTACATCGCTTCTGCATTTATTTCAAAATCTCATTTATTAGGATGCTATAAAGTTACGATTGTTACAGTTTCTATTTATTTGGAGGTTGTGATTATGATTGATGGCTATTTTTTAAATAATGTACACGTTATAAGTTTTAAGCATTGCTCTATGATCTTATGATTCAAGTTAAGACCCTCGATTTAGGACTCTAATTGCATAAGTGAAATGATGTCCTCATAATTGAAGCATATGGTGGCTTTCCTTCAAGGGTTGTGGGAAATATTTTCTTGCAACTATTTCAGATTGTTCCACTGAGAAAGTAGAAAGTTGCACGATTAAGCCATTGAGAAGGTAGAAAGCTGCATCAGTTTGGTTTATTTTTCAAGGCGCTTTCATCAGCGAGAACCAAATCTCGGTTGTCTGATTTTCACTACTGGAGGTACACACCATATGGGATTTCTAACAAAATACATTAAATTCTATGCATAAATACATTAGAAAACTAATTAAATTCAAATAAATATCATTCCGGCATACATCTTAACAAACGATGTTAACAAACGATGTTAAGATTGTTTCTCGGTCGACTGAGAGTGGCAATGGTTCTGCTGTTCTCGGATTCCAGTTTCGTTTCACTCACCAGCTCTCTCACAAACGAGGAAAAAGGTTGAGGCTCATAGAGGCCATTAAGGGGGCTGGCCTACCAAGACCACTAGCTGCGACGAGTACAAGTGTACAATTTGGAGTTTTCTTCCTTCAATGTGGCAGCAAGTGTTCAAATTTCAATGTGTTATTTATGTTGGAGTCGTGTCTTTAATATTTCATTCCTAATGAGTTTACTCAATGTTCAAGGTAGAAGAGTTCAATTCTCAGGCCCCATCAATCAATCTTCATTTTCATTTTCTTTCATTTTCATTTTCTTTCTATTCACTTTTTATGTATTGATTTTATCATACTTTAGAGAATAAGAAAATTAATAATGAGAAGATGCTTATATGGCTCTCAATTTTCTTACCACAACTCTTTCAGATTTCCCTCTTTCTCTAGAATCCTCAAGCTTGAAACTATAAGTAACATTTTTCTTCCTTCTCATGATTTAATATGAGACTCCATATGTGCTTGGAGTTGTTCTAATTCAATATCTGCCACGAGGTAAGTTATGTGGCGTTGGGGTAAGCCAAAATGTTGTAACGGTTGCTTTCTCATTATTCTGATCAGATCTTTTGCATCCTATGTTTTTGTAGGCGTTGATGGATTTTTGGCTGAGCTGGGGGCTGGGGGAAACACCTCCACCATATCAGCAATGGTTGTTGAGGTCATTGAAGACTTGAAGCTTATGGAGAAAAAATTGATGTTCACGTGCTCTTTGAAGGAACTTTTAGGAAATTCTATGTAATCGAACACATTTCCCCTTCCGCCACCTCTATTATTTATTAGTATTCAGGGCATCTTCAATGTAAATATAAGCTAGATTTTAGATTTCTTTTTTGTAATGTGTTACTGTTCCATGGAGTCTGCAATTTAGGTCCTGAAATTTGCAATGGAATGCTTTTACTTTAATTTATGGTCACGTATAGCTCATTTTTTGGCGAATTGAATGCTTCTATGGACTACTTGAAGGTTAAAATCAAATCTTTTAGGATGTGTTTGGAAGGAGAGTTTAGCAGGGGACAGCTTTGGAGTATTCAACCTAAAGCTTTATCTTGATAATTGAAACTGTTCGAAAGGTGTAAACTTTGGTGCTTTTAATAATCTCTTATTAGAATTTATTACTTTCTCCATTGCTATCCTCCAAGAATTGGGACTGACAAGCACATTTGTTATTATAGAAATCAAATCCTGGTTTAAGACAGAAAGATTTCGAAGGCCTCAGGTGGAGAATATTTGATGTCGAAGGCCAGGTTGGAATGTGCTATCTCCATATTGATGTTGTAATTCAATGAAAAAGTTGTTTTGTGATGGTTGTGTTTTTTTCCTACTTCAAGAATTTTGAGGAAAAAATATCATCCGATCATTCTCAACTAAGCTAAAGCCCTACTGCACCTTAGCCTTTTAATCAATTATTGGGGGATTCATATGTGCACTCTTTCTTTGTGTTGCTTTACAGTTCTTTCGTCTTTCATTTCTGTATCTATTGTTCCGCGTCTAGCTTTTAGTTAAAAAAAAGGGTTGATATTTTAAATGCTTATTCTTTCCAAGGTTATTAGGATTGCTGGTTAGATTGTGAGATCATATTTGTTCTTTCAGCACCCCTTATTGTTCGAATTGCAAATCAATACACCTAATTACATGAAGTGCAAAATGCAATCCAGCCAAGAATCAAGACAAGACTGCCCCGTACTTTTACCTAATTGTCTAAATTTTGCAGGCTCTATTTTGTGTAATTGAAGGTGAATGGACAAAGGCCTTATTTTCTCAAATGTGGATGTAGCAAGTGGTGAGATGCTTGAATATAAAAACTATTAAGATTACTCCTACTACTTTTTTTAACAGTCCCACTACTACTACTACACCCTTTAATCATTTAATGTGTGAATATTTTAAGTGATTTTTATTTAGGGAGAGATTATGATAATAATATTAAAGAGCAATGAAAATAAGAGTAAAAATTGACCTCATGGAATCTTATAGCCCACAGTATACAGGTCTAATTTTGTATAGTATACCACATGACCTATTAACATTTTTATAAGTGTTAATTTATTTAGATGTCTTTCCTATTAATGGTTACCATATCTTTTAACTTTGATTTATGATGCCTCATGTTTATAGGTTTTGGAAGTGAGAAATGAAATCGAGAACTTATGTGGAGTCTTACACTGCCACGACGGTTACGAGCATTGGTGGTTTTTGAACCGACGCTCCAGCAGAGGAGATGAAGGATTCATTTCTCTTCCTTTCATGTATCTATGCTCCCATCTCTTAAATGTCATCTTAGATTTCCCTCTTTCTAACCACCACTGGAGCTCAATTTTGCCCTATAGGTCTCACGGCGTTGCTGATTTCACGACTAAGAGCGCCAATGATTCTGCCATTGTCAGACTCTGGTTTCATTTTACACACCGCCTCTCTCACAAACGAAGAAAAAGCTTGAGGCTCAATGTGGCGATTGAGGGGCTGGCCCACTACCTACGGCGATTACAAGTATAGAATTCCAAGTTTTCTTCCTTCAACGTGGCGGCAAGTAAATCCTAAACCTGCATCTTCTTTCTCTTTGCTCCATCTTTATTCAAATTTATAGTTATAATTTTATTTAGTACTTAAATTGTTATATGATTCAAAATAATTCCAAAAATCATTTACAGTTTTACTTACCAATTAGTGTGATATTGTAGTTAAAAATGGAATTGGTATTACTGTATGTTCTAGCATCTAGAGTGTACAGTGATACTCAATATGTGTTCGATGAATTGTCTCAGCGAGATAGAGGGTGCAGGGCTGCAGCCATGCCATCTTAAAGCTCTTATTCTTTCCAGGATTGCCCACTCAATCTCTCTTATCAACCTTTATAGGAAACGCAGGGATATGGTACGCCATAAGTTCTCTAGCACATTTGATTTTGTTGTGCTCTAATGTTTTGATTCAATTCATTGGAAATCATTAGTTCAAGAAGATTCCTTGCCATAACACAATGTTATAAAATCTCATTTATTAGGATGCTATAAGGTTACGATTGTTACAGTTTCTATTTATTTGGAGGTTGTCATTATGATTGATGGCTATTTTTTAATAATGTACATGTTATAAGTTTTAAACATTGCTCTATGATCTTATGATTCAAGTTAAGACCCTCGATTTAGGACTCTAATTGCATAAGTGAAATGATGTCCTCATAATTGAAGCATATGGTGGCTTTCCTTCAAGGGTTGCGGGATATATTTTCTTGCAACTATTTCAGATTGTTCCACTGAGAAGGTAGAAAGTTGCACGATTGGGCTACTGAGAAGGTAGAAAGCTGCATCAGTTTGGTTTATTTTCAAGGCGATTTCATCAGCGAGAATCAAATCTCTGTTGTCTGATTTTCACTATTGGAGCTACACACCATATGGTGCTCAGATTTTCCCTCATATTCTTGATCTGGTGGTATTACTCAAGACTTCTGATGTGAGAAAACTTGACTTCATTTTTAACATTTCGTGTTCGGTAGGTTGGTTAGCCTGCTCTACCACTGGTTTGGAATGTTGATATTCTTATACTGTTTTTAAGGTTTTCAATCTTTACTTTTGCTTTTCTCCTTTGAGGGGATTTGTTGAGGATCTCCATCCTTTTGAACTATGTACTCTTTTTTCTTTTTATTAAAACTCTCCTTACTTATCTACACACCTTAAGACATAGTAAAAAATGTATACTTAAAATTTATGAATCATATATTCATTTAAAAAACTTTGATTTATAAATATATTTTACGTGAGATTATACGAGCCCGTGCGAAGCACGGGGTAAAAAACTAGTCTATACATATCTTTTGGTTCACCCCGCACAATACAATCCTTTCTAATATATTGATTATATGCCTTGATTATATTCCTAATCTAGACTGTTTGAGTTTAATTTGCCACTGTAATTTTCATATTGGTCCGTTTAATTACCACCGTGCATCATCAACATTATTAACCACCATCCCAATTTTAAAAAAAACGTTATTTAGAGCGAGGAAAAGAAATTAATGTTGTCGAATTGCTTGCCTCCTTAGGGGCTGTTTGGCAACTTCTGAATGGGTAAGTGCTGAACCAGTAAGAGGTCTGAACTATTAAGGGGCTGTTTGGCAACTTCTGAATGGGTAAGTGCTGAACCAGTAAGAGGTCTGAACTATTAAGTGCTGAACCAGTAAGAGGTCTGAACCATTAAGAGCTAGTATATTGTTTAACTATTCAGAGGCAAATGTCTGATCAATTCAGATAAGAGCTCTTAACCATTCAGACTCTGTATAATACTTAACCATTCAGAGGCAAATCTCTTAACCATTCAGACATCTGAACCATTAAGAGACTGAAACAAACAGTCTGAACCATTAAGTGCTGAATCATTCAGACATCTGAACTATTAAGAGGCTGAAACAAACAGCCCCTTAATAATGATCAAGGACGGGACAAGGAGGAATGGACGCATCTATATATGGACATCAATAATTTGTGTTTATTATTATTGTTAATTAGTGGTGAGGGGTCTTTTTTAATTAATTAATTAATTAATTGTTCTTCTTCTTCACACATTGGGCGCGGACATGGACTCCACCAGCCCATGCATCTTCAATTCATTGTACGTACCTCTAACTAATTAATTCCTTCCGGCCTTATCTTTTTATTATTATTGTTATTGTTATTAGCCCCCTTCCGTGAATTGCAGCACATATTAAATTTCTTTTTCTTTTTTTGCAACGTCTCACTTTTCAAAATAATTAAGATTTACATTTTCTTACACTAAATATATTTTATTGTTCACATGATTTGGTCATTTTTTATGCACATCAAGATTGATATAGAGAGTACCTAACATACTCCCTCCGTCCTATAAAACATTTCCTGTTTCAAAAATGGCACGCCTTTAAATGAGTAATTTTGATGGAAGTATTTTCTAATTTTGCCCTTACTCCTTAAAAAAGTAGGATGAGATGTGTAGAATAGATTAGTCATAATTAAAAAATAACACTAAAATTACTCATTTTAAAGGCGTGCCATTTTTTGAAACAAGAAATGTTGTATGAGACGGAAGGAGTATAAAAAAAGAATTCAAAAACTAACAAACAATATTTGTGAAATACTCAAAGACAAGTTTTGTTTACAAATTTCTTTCTTTAGTGTCAAATTTGGTGTGTGCTGCGTTTAATTATAAAGAATTTAAGTCAATTTACTTCCTCCGTTTCATAATTAAGTTCTCACGTAAAAATGATACGGAGTACAAAACTTAATTACGGAGTACGGAGTACATTACAATGGTATGAATACAAAACCTAATTTAGACATTTGTCAACCGTTAATCTCTAAAAAGAATGAGATGATGATCAGTTTAATTAGGACATTCAAAAAAAGAAAATACTCACTCTGTTCCACAAAACCTTTCCTCTTTCGTTTTTTTTTTGTTTTCCACAAAATACTTCCACTTTTTATTAAAAAACCACTTTTACTCCTACTTTTTCATACCATACATATCACATCATACTTTTTCACTAATAACCAAACTATCATATCTTATTTTTTCCCATCACATCAGGGGCAAAATTGGAAAGTCAACCAAAATTACACTTTCTTTATTTTTCCCCAAAGTCAAACCGGAAGGGTCTTGTGGAAAAAACACAATTTTTAAAAATAAACATTAAAGGTACGGTAATAAGAGTTCGCACTGCGATAATATGACACCGTGTAAAAGTATTTTAACTCATATTTTAAGAAAAAAATATAGAAGTCCTATTTTAATATATTTTTATTGTTTTTATTCTTACCTTAGTCTTTTTTCCTTAAAGCGAGGGAGTATTGTTCAATTAGTGTGAACCCTTTGCATATCTTATGAAAAGATAAATTATTTTGAAAACATCATCCCAAACACTATCATTTTTATAGACTATCAATGAATGTTGATAGTCTATCGAAAATACTAAAACTAGATAAATGAATGTTGAAGATTTTGTCAAAGAGACGGAGATCGTAAAGAAAGTAAATAATGATAAAATGATCCCATAGCTTAGCTTGTGAATGGTACAAGGCCGGCCCCGAAAAATGAAAAAATAAAATTGGCCTGGTCTCAAATTTTCATTTTGTGCCCTATTTTATATTTTTAGAATACTTTTACTTTAAAATTATTAACAAATTTAAAAATATGGTGCCCTAAATTTTAAGGGGCCCTGTGCGGTTGGCCACTTTGCACACCTTTCGGGCCACCCTTGGAATGGTATATGATGGGGTGAAATGGGTGATGTTTTGTTGGCCGGGGACCAATTCAAGTTGAAAGCTTAGCTTCAATTCTGCTCCCAAGTCCCAACTTGACAATATTAAATAATCACACATTCCATCATGCCACAATTATACGCCATCCCATCATATATCTCATAAAAGTTTTCCAATTTAAATTTTTAAGTGATTTAAAACAAGTGTATTTTGGTATCTGATCTTCCATAGTGGCTTCAAAGTTAAGTTTTTAAAATTGATATTTCCCATCAATTAATAGTTAAGAATAATGGGAGGGAGTTGTAAGATGAGATGATTTGATGGATAAGATGCGTGAAAGTATGGCTAAAAAGAGTATTTTATTCCATTTTGAAGAAATTGAAATATTTAATGAAACAGTTAAAATGAGAAAATTAAAATATTTAATGAGACCGGGTAGCATATACCGAGTAAGGACCATGCTACATTTACACCAACAAATATACCCCATTTGTACGTACACCACAGGTTTGCACAAACATTTCGATGGCTTACACCGACACAAGTATTGGTGCGTTATTAAAAATTCACACGGACACAAGTGTTTAACAAAAATTAGTTTTACATCAACACAAAATATTGGTGCATAACCGCAGGGTACAAATTAGAGTACAAATCTTGGGGTACACATAACATAATCCACCGAATAAATAGTACGGTGAATATATATCCATAATAACGAATTGAAGGGAGGTCGGTCGGGGGCGGGTCAAAAAAACAAATGTGATGTGTTTAATGGAGTAGCAATAAAAGAGTAGTAGAGTGGGCTTGTGGGGGGCACAAATGGATCAATGAAAATTTCAGATGTTGCTGACAAAAGAGACCAAATTCAAAGAGGAAAAAAGAAATAAAAAACAAAGATAAGATCGGGCCGATAAATTAAATGATCCATCGAGAGGCAAATTTATTCTTGTCGAGCCCTCCGCGGACAGTTGGGGAGAGGACAGGATATCATACATTATAATTATATATACTCCCTCTGTCCCGGAGTATTCGTCCACTTTTGACTTTTGAAACTGTTCATCTAAGTACTTTGACTCATCAAATTCTCTCAATGTATAAGTCTAAATATAGTTATGTGTGATCTTGTAGATTTGTCTTACCATATAGATTATTAATATATAATTTCTGTATTTTTTTAAAATACAAATTACAAGATAAAATGGATTAAAGAAGTGTATTAGATGATGTGTAAAAATGAAAGTGAATAAATACTCTAGGACGGGGTAGTATTCCGGAACCAATTATATCATTAATAATTAGAGGACTCTCTCTGATCTCTCTCACACACACACAAAGCAATATCCTCTCATCTTCTCACTTCAAATCAACAATGATATGTATGTATACATATAATACTCGTACATGCCCTCACTTGCACATGCATAAATACTTTTCCCTCTATTATTTACTCCCTTCGTTCCTTAAAATCCTTCCGCCCTAAATTTTTACGTACCTCATTAAACGTTTTTACTCTCACCTAAAATATCTAAAATATACCCCACTATATAGTTTTTGTGGGCAGAAGTTGTTTTAGAGGTATTTTAGACATTTTAAGTGAGATAGAAGTATTTTATAGACTGCGCAAAACATTAAAATGGTAGTGTTTTGTAGAACGGAGGGAATACCATACGTACTACGTATATATTCTCCCCCTCCATTATTTTTTTATCACTTTTTTTTGGGATATTTAAAAATTTCTTTCTTCTTTCATTTTTGAAAAAAAACTTTTAATAAATATGTCATTATAGCTCTATTTTTTTCAAATGTTATATTTTTTATGTCATCACGTCAATAGTAACACATGAAAGTCTTTAAACTTTTTAACTTTTTAAAATTTTTTAAAGAGGAAATGTAAAAGCCGCCCCATTCAATTAGGTTGTGATAATATGTAGTACTCCCTCCGTCTACCTAAGATCTTCCCATTACGTGTTACGAAGTTTAACCGACTTTATTTTTAATTCAATTTAATTGATTATAGGAGTAAAATTTTAAAATAAAATTTATATAGTACGGAGTAATAAACTACATGAAAAGTTCTACAAAACTAGAAGTTACAAGACTATATTATTTTATGAAATGACTAGTAAAAATGAGCAAACAAAGTGAGTAAAGTTTGACTTTCTGAATAGTGTCTGGAAAGATCTATGATAGACGGAGAGAATATTTATTTGTGTAGCTATAAGCTAAGACCATTTAATGTGTCATTGACCGATAATGGACTTGCTCAATCTTAGGGTTATTATTGCTCCCCTAGGGCGTATCCAGAAATTTAATTTGGACGAGTCACAAGACAGTGCATGTGCCCTCAATTTTCTTTTTTAAAACGTAATGTGATCCAAAATACGGTACTCCGTAAAAAGTTGCCTATCTACTACGTATTTCATACTAGAGGAATTTATTTAAATAATAATAAAATATAGTGACTTTCTCCCATAGTTTTGAAAACCGGACCGGCCGGTTCGGACCGGGAACCGGTGAACCGGACGCCGAGCCGGTCCGGTTCAGGCAATTAGACCGCGACCTGCATAGAACCGGTAGAAACCGGTCAAACCCGGGACAAACCGGCCGGTTTTTAACACTAGAACCGGTTTTTTAATTTTCTTAATGAAGATTCCTAAAAAACAGTTGCCCAGGGACTCGAACCCAAGACCGATGGGGTGGACGCGGCATCTGGAAACCATCCCGGCCACAATGGGATGTGATTACTACCTACTATTTACTTTATATATGCTTTATTTTAGTTTTTTATCAAATACCCCATAGTACTTTTTAAGTATATGTACTTTTTTTTTTTTACTAAAATTCAAACCCTTGATGTAGTTTATATGGAATGCATATCACACAAATATTTTATATATTTATTTATTTATTTAAATTATAGGTAAAAGTTTTAAAAAATTCAAATTACTTTTTATTTTATAAGTTTTTTTAAATAAGTATGACACAACTCAAGTAAATTAAGTTAAATTATAAATTTAGTCAAACATCAATTATATATATATATATATATAATTATTTATTAAAAATGTTTGAACCACTGGTTCAACCACTCGAACCACTGGTTCGACCAGTAAACCAGTGAACCAGTGCCTTGACCGGTTTGATCGCCGGTTCGGTTCTGAAAACTATGGTTTCTTTCTCTTTCTCCATACAGTATTACGAAGTATTATTTAATATACATTACTTATTGTTCAAGTAAATGTTCATTGTTACTGGAGAATGTTTAATTTAAATCGCCACAATCACTGAATATTATTCCCACATTATTCAAGTACTATTTAAACTACGGAGTATAAAAAATTTAAGAACTAAATTAGAAAAAGATTATGTTTTAAGAATACTTTGTACAAATTTTCAGTACATACAAGTTACGGAGCATTAATCAACCTTCATTAATTAAAATGAAAGAAAATGATAATGTTTCAAATCAAATTGATTTTAGAGATATATGTAGCAAAAAATTAAAATTGGAATCGAGTTTTTGAATTGGATTATGTTGTGTACGGTAGATATTCCCTTCCTTTGTTGCACTTTGTATTTTTTTTAATATCAACTTAGAGTTATGGTAAGTGTAAATTACTCCGTAGTAGATTTAGTGCCTGTTTGGGAATAGCTTTAGCGATTAGCGTTAGCGTTTTCAAAAAGCTATCTACGGACAGCTTTTAGCGTTAGCGTTTTCAAATTAATCTGCACCGTCAAAATTTTATCTAAAACGCTGATGCTAATCGCTAACGCTATTCCCAAACAGGCCCTTAAACTAACTCTACATTGACGACCGACGAGGCTGAATCGGTCAATGCGATTTTAGGTCAAAACATTTGGACCGTATATTTAATTGATGCTTAACTCACAAATTTGGAATGCTTATGACTGTTATGAGTTGACAAGCCCATCAGTTGAATTTATATACTCCCTCCGCCCATAAATAAATTTTTCCTTACGCATTATGATGTTTGACTAAAGTTATTTTTAAATTATTCTATATAAAAATAGGTATAAAAATAAAAACAAATTACATATTTAATAATTATATGGATAAACTAAAAAACTATAGATGACATGACTATATTATTTAATCAAATAGAATATAAAAATAAGCCAACAAAATAAATAAAATTTAATTATGTGAATAGTAAACGACAATTTTATTGTTAGATGGAATAGACTCATAATAATATTCCGTAGTAATTACTACTAGATCACAAGTGTTCCTTCTTACTCGTCTTTTGCTCATACCGCTTTTAAGCTTTGGTCAATTATCAAACTTAGGTCGATATTTTTAACTGGATCGCAAGATCAAATAGAAAGTAATAAGTACGGTCCAATTAATTTACATCATCAAATGCAAGACTATATATATTTATAATGCGGTACACACCAATTCTCACTCAATCTCCAATTAGACTGCTAATCCATTCCGCCTCTAATCTATCCATCATCAAGCTTCAAGTTGTACTGTGTGAAAAGTGAGTAATTTAATTATGTCACACTACCAATAAATCTTGCTGAATTACACACCATTTGCAAATAAACCAAACTTAAGTAAAGTGAAATAACGTGGAGGACATTAGTATTTAACATTAACATATGTTTTCTTGAGCATTATCAAAGGTACATAACAATAATAGTTAAGAACACGTACTCAAAAGGACTTGGAACAAAATACAGACCGCGTCCATGTCTAATACCGACTCGATGGGCTCGTCTTCAAAATGCTAAAATAAGCTAAGAAATATATATAATCTAAACAATCACTACATATAACTACTACGGAGTAATTGGGGACAGTTGTACTTATTATATATAGAAATAAATACCACGCAGAGATCATTAGCAAATTAATCACTCACTAGCTTCCAAGTTCCAACATTTGTACTTTTAATAATAATAACAATAAATAAAAAAACCCGATGTGGATAAATTTATTTATTGGTGGAATGTGGGATCGGGTGTGTACATAGAAAGATCGGGCCAGCCCGGGTGGGTTCGGTTCATCAAACCCATTCCTATGTTTGGGCCCGGGCACGACGTAGGAATCGGATTCGGGTTCCCGGGGAACTCACCCAACTGCAAATCCGACCCGCCCAGTAAACTCCCGAACTGCCGCCCTCCCCCGCTCGCAGTCGTCAGAAGCGACGTGAAACTGGCGTTCACATCGAAGCCCGGGATCCCGGCGATCCGGAACGGCTCATCCGACTTCTGCGGCGGCGCGGCTGGAGGACGACGGTTCGGCGGAGAAGACGGCGTCGCCGTGGTCGTCGAGGAGGATCGCTTGGAAGAGGAGGAGGAGGAGGTGGAGGAGGAGGATGAGGAAGAGGAGGAGCGCTTGGTGGAGCTCTTGCGGGTGCCGCCACCGACGGGGATGTTTCTGAGAGCGCCGCCTTTGGTCCAATACCTTTTGCAGTTTTTGCAGAAGTGGCGCGGCTGAGAGAGGTTGTAATTGTTGAAGTAGCAGAACTTGGTGTTCATGGAATCGCACCTGGGACATTTCAGGTGCTCCTGCTCTGGAAATTGAGGTTTGATCTGCGTATATATTATTGACGGATCCTGCATCTTCTTCTTCTTCTTCTTCTTCTGATCAATCAATCGATCACACAGAGTTCGAAAGCAATTGGGTAATTTCTTTTTTCGAATCTGCAGAAATCGGAGCAAATTAACTTTTTGGGGTTTGTGGGGAATGAAATGGGGGGAGTTCAGATCGAGCTTTAGGAACTGGTGAGAAGAGAATTAAAAAGCAGATGGTTTAAAGGGGGGGAGGAAAGTGGGAAGTTGGGAATTAAAGAGGGGAAGGACAAAAAGAAGCTTCAAAATAAAAAGGGGAAAAAGTATGTATGGACGAAAAAGTCAAGATTTGTTTTTCATGTGAACTCCTCCCGACCAGGAAAACTTTAAAAAAGAGATAGAGAGAAGAAGAAGATCAGAAATGAAGAGAGATGATGAAGAAGACTGACATTTCAAGAGGAAGATCAGCTGAAAGTATTTTATATTCCCTGAGGCTGAGGGCGGTGGGGAAAATCAGAATATAATTCTTCTTTAGAGAAAGAAAAAGGGGAGTAAAAGGATGAGAGAGAAACAAAACTCAACTTTGGTTCATCTCATAAATAGAGGGGAAGAGAGTATTATTTGTGTCAACTGCACTGGAAATAATTATATTGTATACGGAGTATACTTTATCTTTTAATTGTTTTTATAACGAAGGATGTCATTATAATTAAATATATTTTTTTCAAGGTAAAAGGATGTCATAGTTTTATAAAAAAACAAATTATGGTAATCTTCTAGAGTCCGGTGGAGTAGTAAAGTGGAGAATTTTTTCACTTTAGACAAGCCGATAGAGTGATGGTTGTCAATTTTGTGGGTGGGAATGCAAATGAAAGAATATGCCGACAAGTATTTTACAGCCAACGGAATTGATGATTGAAAAAGGGAATAACTAAATGAATAATGAAGGTGGACGTGGAAGGGATGGAGTAACTTTTACCAGACTCTTTTGAATTAATCAAAAGCATGATGATGATGAAAATGTGTTTGTGAAGTTGCCTTTATCCTATGATGCCAAATGGACGGTCAAGATCGACGTACTATACCCACAATTCCGGCCAACATACACTCTTATTCTTACCAAATATGTCCTGGGACGTAGTTCAGGTGATCAATAGAATATGTAAAAAGATATTATTACAGTCAAATTTGAGGCCTTGAAGATACAATGAAAAATACAGTATTTTAATTTATAATTTTCATAGAGGTCATTTTCGCGATAGAAGATCGCATTTCCTAATCATAAGATTACAATTTCATTCATCTTCACGCACGTAACTATTCAAGCCGGGTCGAATGAGACTTTAGGATGTGATCTTTTCTTACAAAAACAATTTTTACCCATTACACCCACATTTAATTTTTTCCCATACTTTGGAAAGACAGTGTAACCGGGTCTGACGTCTAGCAAAGACAATGTAAAATATAGAATATGTTGTGCTTTTCATAAAGGTCATTGTTGGGATAATTAAGGACATATTTCATTCTCTATTGCTCACTCAGGAATACAACTTTGTTTACATCCTCTTGCATGACTCTTCGAGCCATGCTTAAGCATAAACTGGTTCATTTTTTTTTTTACAAAATCAATTTTACGATCGTGCCAGCATTAATTTTATTCATACTTCAAGTGGGTCCATACGGGTTACTTTGATGGTTCTCAGAGAGGATGTTAAAATCCGAGGTCTCAAGATCAAATCCTAGAAGCTAAGAGTGTGAGAGTTTCATTCAATGTGATAATTAATTCTTTGTGCACATACGTATTCTTTAAGTACCAGATTAAGATTATGTTGGAATGCGATTTGAATGTTATTTACATCTCGTTAATTAATTTGTCAATCCAATTAAATGGCGCATTCATACATTCATTTCAAACCTGGGGACTAAACATCCATTTGTTGTCTTCTAATGTGCCGCTAACCCTAAACATGTGGAAGATAATAAAAAACAACTTTTTGATTGGGAAAATTAGAAAGAAAAAAAAACAAAGTTAGTATATTACGGGCACTATATGCAACAGTTTGTCTCCATTGACTTGTTTACTTTAGACAATTAAAGAGTACATTGACTTAATTTCATGCACTCCCACTCTCTAGTTTAATCTCTTATTTCAAATTATTCTCATTCCGTAGCACAAAAATATCGCAAAAGACTCGGTACATATAGTTGTTATGGATTTAAAAAAATATCGAATGATTGAAAATGATATAGACTACTCCGTACAAGCTACACAAAATTCTTCTATAAATGAAAAGTAGATTTTTTTTTTTACGGAGGAAAAAAATGTAAAATCTTTTTAATACTTAAATAAAATAAATTGATGAAAAAAGTATCAATTAAATTGTCCACCATTTATCGTTGGAAAAAAAAGAGACCGTCGTTAATTCAAAAGATGTAGATGAAGCAATAATAATATGATAATAATGAACATGATGACGTATACATGAGGAGAAGAAGGACGAGTATTTTTAAGTCTGGTAATGTTGTTTGAAAGCAAGGGCCTTGTCGTTTATGGTGCAAGTATTTATGAATGTCGCAGTCGCATAAGATACGATAGATTTACTCATCCCTAGCTAGCCTCCTCTTTATTTAACTAAATTGACTTCTCTTGGTCTCCCCCAAAGTACGTTTTTTTTTTAAATGTCCCATAAAGATGATAATAGTACTTGGCATTCATGTTGAAAAGTGACTTTCTTTTTAACAAAAAGTTTAAAAGGTGTCTCAAAATTATTTCCCACATTCTGTTTTTCTATTCCTGCCAGATTGGCGGTTGTTTGTGCATTTCAATGCCTTCTCGTTTTGTGCTATAAAAAAAAAATTAAACAGGTGGATTAGCTTCACTAGATTTGACGTTTTCATGCATACCCCTGAAAGTCGGCAGTTGTTTGAGCATTTCAATTTTTCCTCTTTTGCTTATAACTTGCTTAAACCAGACCCCAAACATCCTCTGAACCACGCACATTTAGACATGTCCAAACAAAACCAGAGCATACTATGTAACAAACAAGAACCCTTTTACGTACTAAAATCATTCGAATCGTACCATAAAGATACAGACCCAGACCAAAGAAAACAGATCTGAATTACTCTCTGTTACAGAATACAGAGGGAGTAATATAATATTCTATGCTATATGGGCACAGGTGTTTTAAAAAACAGTTACAAATGTCTAGCAATCTACCACCAGAGCATGAAAAATAAACAAATAATATGACTAAGCTGGACACCAGGGCAGTTAGCAGAAGTTTCTTCTACAGTAAATTTGTGGGAACTATTGTTGCCGATAATATATAATAAACACACTAAATTTAATCTACAAAAAAATAATAATAATGATCGCAAATCTACCCCCACCCAAATACAAGTTAACATTCTTACTTCCCAGCATGTTCTTAGCTAGCAGCTGCTTCTTTATAGCGCGGTCTACATTTTACTGTACTAGTGGCAACTTTGGCAAAGCCATCACTTTTCTTGAAAGCTTCTATGGGTAATATTGACTTCATGAACTGAAACACACAAGCTTGGCATCAATGAGGCAGTTGATCAAATGGGTGAAACAACCGTGTGGGGCATCCAAACAATGACCTTCCCAGAAACCAAACAAACCCAGAGGTTTGGGGTGAGTGAGATGTGCACGGACCTTAACTCTACGCCAGATATGTTTGCAGAAAAGAAACCAGAAAAATAAATGATAAAGCAAGAAACACATTCACCTCACGCATAATACATATACAAACTGTTTGCAGCAGCACATGCAATTGAATTTTCGGTTGGATGCCATGCGAGATGGAGCAGTTTTGTGCTGAAATCAAATGTGTTGCCATTTGCATCTCCAATGGGACTTTCTGCTCCTGTAATTAAATCATTTCATTACTGCAGTCTCTTTGTAAAAGAAACTATAAGCTTGTTTGCATGTGGTCCTTGATAATATCAATGGTGCTTTTGGTAAGTCAAAAGCAATTTTACGTTTTGAAATGATGTTTGGAAGACATTTTACAAGTGCTTTTAAAATGTAGGAAAAACAATACAAACTAAGTGCTTTAAAAAGGTTGGGGGAGACCAATTTTTCAAAGAACAATTTTAAAAGGTTGGGGATGAACAATTCTGGAAGAACAATTGTATGGAAATTCCAGAAAAAAACATTTTATAACTGTATTGGAATTTTTTAGTACTTTTTAGTAGATTTTCATTTAGTAAAACAGAGCCGCTCAGATGAAGGCACTTTTTCTTCTAATGTACAATTTAAACAAAAGCACATCCATAATGCAAAGAAATGAATATGCCAAATTGCGGACCTCGCCTGCCAGACAGAGTAATGCTACTGCCGGGGGATCTTGAGGGTCTTGAAGGGGTCTGGGATTGCCGCCTGGATGAGCATAGTCAGAGGTTGAACAAGAAATAGGAGAGAAAGAAACACAAAAGAATGAATGAGACAAAGATAGATGGGAATAAAGAGAGGTAAATAACTTCTCGCTTTTCTTCTACCTTTGAGAGAAGTTTATAAGTGGGTTTTACCACTTCCAAAATTCTTTCCTCTCAATTTCTTTCCTATGCCAAACAAGAGAAACCAAACAATTGTTTTCTAACCCTTCCCACATCTTTTATTTCTTTCCCACTTCTACTCTACCAAACAAAGGGTAACTATCAAAATAAAGTAAAACATAGCCTTCAGCCTGATGTGTCTAACACAAATACCTCATGGGATTTTTACTTGCTTCTAGTGTTGTTGCTTCGACACTTCCAGCGGCACAGCCAAAAACGCGGAAAAGGTTACTGAAGCAGCAACATTTACTCAGATACCAAAGAAGCAACACAAAAAGTAAAAACAATGGGAACAAGAGCAGGAAAAATGCATATTATCTGGAGTATCCATATACCTATATGATCCTGTAGCTACTCGCAAGCCATCACCACTCAAGCAGCACTCAAATTTATCAAATATGGAATCATTCTCGTACAAATCACAAAGCTACAAGTCATCAAATTGTACACTGTTTAATCAGCGTTCACTGAGGGCAAAAAAAGAAAATTTTAGAAAAGAATAACAATCTTCGACTAATGAATAATTCACCTTTGGTCTTAGATGTTCGTGAACCTGGAAACTAGCAACTGGACCAGAATTCATATTTACATCCCACAGCTGGTAAGCCAAGTATAAGTCATTAAGTAAATAATACAAAGAGTGGCAGTAACATTGATATAAAAGTTGTTTCAAATTAATCATTTCAGAAAATAAAGACAATTATTAGCATAGAAATAAGTATGAAACATCATTGAATAGAAAAAATTAAGCACACCCACACCCACACACATGCAAAAACCCATCCTAGGAGCATGTAAGCATAACTCACACAAAACAGTAATAAATAAACAACCTTAAGAGTCATGTAATCGCGGCCAAGGATATATCTTCCATCCTTTGCAAATTTAATGTCAGAAATTGAAGCAATGATCTCGGTAAAGAAAGATCTCGAACCAGGTGCCTCATGTTCCTCGAACCTAAAGGCGCATAGAGGAGTGATTCAGATATGTATGAATGAATCTATTCAATAAGACTGTTTAAACTTGGTATAAACTTCCTTCATTCTCAAATAAATGTAATGTAAGGAAAAAAAGTCATGTGAGACCTTTTTAGATCCGTCTTGGTATAAACTTTCATAATATCGACTTTTTATAACTTAACTAAAACATAATAAAAACATTAATGGTTTAATGTGTGCATTGGTAAATGTGCCAAGTCTAGTATGCATGTATGTACGCTCACCATCCTGCAACAAAGGTTGTGCTTTGAATTAATGGAGTTCAAGAATTAAGTTGAAATGCGAAAACTGTGTGGTAGGAATGTGTTTAAAAGAGAAATGTTATGACGCATGTATTCCTTCCTTAAAAAGGAAATGAGAGAAGAATAAAGTTTATTTTTGGACAAAGAAAAGGTGTAAGCCTTGTTGCCGGGCGAATGGAGTATAAAAACCTTTGCATTCACTAACTGTTTTTTTTTTCAATTTTCTAGATAAATAGGACCTTGAAGAATGAAAACTCAAAATCATATATAGCACTATCGCTTGCAACTTTTTTTCAGCTGGAAAATGGGAAGAAATATCATGTTTGACCTTCTATTTCTATACTTTGGAGAAAATTCTTTCTTTTCTATGCCTCCATTTTGAGAATAAAGAAGGGTTACAAGGATGTAGAGGCAGAGGCAATTTCTAATATAAACCCACCCTTCATCTATAGGAAGATACGATGCCACATTTATTATTTTCCCTTTTGCTTGTCTTTCTCTTTCCTAGTGGTTTCCTTTTATAATTTTTTTTTAACTTTATAAAATCTAATGAACTTTATTCATAACTTAACGTTAATTAGTTATATATACCCATTATTCATTTACCTTGTTTTCTTGCTTCATTACTTATTTGTGTCCCCTACTCACATCACTTCTCATTGTAATTCCGAGATTCTTGAAAACAGTTTTTAATCATATTCCCTGGTGTAAATGGAAACAGTCTCTAATCCTATTCCCTGGTGTAAAGGTAAGGTCAGCAGTCAGCTTATATTTTGTCCCCTAGAATGCTAGAGCCTACTTATGACTTATGAGTGAGGTTTACTACGTATGTTTGGTTTAATTGACAGTTAACTAGAATATATAGTTAAAGCCACCGACCCCAACGGATTGGGATTCAGGTGTGATAATGATTTTATGATAAGTGTGTAATGTTGACTTGTTTTGATATGGTTCACTTTTTAAAAGGGTGTGACTATAAAAATACTCCATCCATCCATCCCACAATTATGTTCTTGTTTTGATATGGTTCACTTTTTAAAAGAGGGAAAATAATGTGGTCAATAAAGCTTTGGGACATTAAAAACAAGAAGCAACAAAATTAAGAGAGGGAGTAGAAACTATCACAACTCATTGTTGCCTCAAACAATTTTCAAGCAAATGGAAAATATTTATGATGATGACGGAACTGAATATGCATTTCTTTAATCAATTTTTTAGAAATATTCTACATAAACTCATAAAGAGCATTCATAGTCCAACATAAACTTTGCAACTATGCCTTTTCTATGAGTTTAGTGTTAAATACTTTTAGATAGTTGGTTGGCACTAAATTACTCCGTACATGTCACGACTCCATACTTAGGATTTAAGTGATGGCAGTTTAATAATATATGCACCTTTTTAAATCACTGCCACTAAAATATTAAATGTGTTTCATTTAATAACATTTTGAAAAAGAGATTTTGTTCTCAAACTTATGTTTTTCGTTATTCAAATTGGAAATTGAGTTTGAAAAAGAGGTGACAGTAACCATGATATTTAGTTTTCATGTTGAACAGTGACAACTCAAGAATGAAAATTGGAGAGTGAAGTAATTCAGCCAAAGTCTCCAGAAGAGAGGAGCCATGAAACTAGTAGAAATACTCACAATTTAGCATGTGAATCACACAGTGCCGATTGCCGTAAATCTATGAGACGTATTGATCCTTTTGAACTACTATAAGCTAACATATTACAGTGTGTCGGGTGAAACTCGGCTGAAGTTATCACCTCTGCAACAACAAACAACCTCTAGTTAAGGTACAAAGTGTATGTCATTACAAAACAAAATCAATAGAAGTTTATTTCCTATTTAATGATTATGAATATAAGGAGACTCTTGATGGTAATAAAACACATTTAAGCGATTCTGGCATCTTCGAATGAAAAATGACTTTTGGAAGTTGATGTGATTAATTTTCAAAAGAACTTGGCACTGGAAGTGCTTTGCACTTTGCAGCATATTGAAAAAACATTATCAGACATAAAAATATTGTCAGAAATTGTGAGCAAAGAATACTCGCTACTTTCAATCATTAGTAGCTTATCAGCAGAAATAAACATTTTTAATAGGAAAAGAAAGCTAAAGCTGAAAAACAAGTAGGTATTAGATCCATATTCATAATCCATGGATGAATAGGAATTCAAAGTTAACTTGTGAAGCTCACCTGTAAGGTCTTCCATATTTGAGGGCTTCATATCAACAATATTGAAACTCTGGCTGCTTATTTCCAAATTCCAAAGATTTATCCGCAGATCATCGGCTGATATAAATGTTTCACCATCACTGTGTACCAAAAAAAGGAATTAGCATAACTTCATTTTCAAAAATTGTATTCGAGATGATAACAGCTAGACAACATAAAATTGTATGATCACCTGTTATTTGATATGGAATTTATATGGTAGTCATGGGCATGAGCATACACTCTTCTACACCTTGCAACAATACTAGTCTCAGCACTGGAAACCTGTAAAGCATACTCGTAAAATTGGGGAAACAAAAAAAAGGAAAATAATTTTCAGAATAAAATAAACAAGTCACAAGAAAAGAAAAACATCCTCCATATTTAACAACTCATTCCACTCCCATCCCCTTCTGCAAAAATAAAATAAAATAAAAGAAAAAGAAGAAGAAGATGGCAGGTTTTAACTTCACAGGGAAATGTGATGAATTTATTCTCTGAGTGAAGCAACAATTTTTTTTCTGGAAGAACACTATATAAACAAGCATGAATCCATGCAAGTATATATAGTGGAATATGCAAACATCTGTATGTGCAAGTAAAAGGAAGTTTGGAAACGAACATATATAAACACATACAAATGTGTCCACAGGTTCATATACTTGTAGACACTCAAAAATACTGTGCATATGTTAAAAGGTGCACAAGACAACAGTAAGTAAATTAAACTTTTTAACGTTGCAATTCAAATGAATACACAAATAAGTACTTTTTGAAGAGAGATATTTAAAGCAATCCAGCATATGAACCTGCTGATGACTTCTATTGTCACCCTCTCGTTGGTTAAATGCACTTATACACCCATGCTTGAATACCACTCAAATCTGTTACTTCATAAACATTTTGTTTCCATTATACTTAATTAATGAAAAGTAGATCTTTGTACATCCAGACATTTACACACACACACCTATTGTTTGTCAAGTAAGTAATAATAATTTAGGTCGGGGAAAAGCATTAAGATGTGTGCAACATGTTCCTGAAAGCTTAAGAGGATCACATATAGTGATATAAAAATTAATAAAATCCAGTACAAGAAGATATTACTACGGAGTAAAAAATATGGACTACATAAGAGTGCTAGACAATATGATTAAGGCAAGTACAACTACCACAGGCAAGCGGAGCTCTGCTCTGCTCTCTATAGGATGTGAGATATTGTTGCCCAACCTATCGTAAGATTTATTGTGACAGCTCTCATTTTCAAGAGATTGGAACGGATTTGATGAAACACTTGACCTCCCAATATCACCATTTACTACCACTTTGGAAGGGCTAGCATTCATGACTGATATTTTCTTGATTTTCTTTTCTTGGACCTGAAAAAATGAAGATGAAAATGAGCAGATAATTCAAAAACTTCCAACTTAAAGCTGCAAAACGAACCACAACTCACAAGGAAGAACGGCTGAATGAGTCATTTTAATTAATATAAGGATCCACAACAAAAAAGTGGATAGACTTAAAAGAACAGAAGCTTCACATTGAAAGAGATTACACACCTTCCAAAACTTAATAGTTTTATCATTGGTGGATAGCACAAAAAGGGCACCATTAGCGGCTTGACACCACCGAATCTTGTTTATTTTCTCCTCTATCTCCAGACTCTTGAGATAATCAAACTGCATGCAAAACAGACAAAACAAAAAAAATTAAAATTCTAATCCCTTGCCAAAAGATACCACTTCAAGATAATAATATGAACGGCCTTGCATCAGAAAGTTGCCCATGTGATTTCAAAAGCTTTGAAATGGTCAACTGCATAAGTAAATTTGGTTCAAATGGGAACACAAATCTTTTGGTAGCACTGATGTAGAAAATTGTAATTTCTAGACAGTTGTTTGAGTTTTCTGAAAGTTCATACACCAGACTTTTGTAATAGACATGGTTGCTCAAAGCAGTTAGTTGGGTAGGTGACATTAAACTTATAGTTCCAATCAATTGTATAAAATAAAGCTATGTTGCATGGATTCTTCAAATAAGTGTCACTTCCCATCCCTGAAACATTCTCCTTGGGTGGTTGGGGACACCCCAACACATAAACCCTTCGTAAAATTTGGAAACCTTGGTGTTTCCATGGTACCGACCCCGTCCCCATCTAAGCTACTGTCTAAAACTTGGTGCAACTTAGAGATAAAGAAACACTATAAAGTGATGCAAAAAGCACAGTGGCAATGTTTTATGAGGGGTGTTTCTTTCTTAACATTCATATAAAGGAATATAAATGGAATATGTCATGAGACTGCAATGAGCTCATTCAGAATTCATTCAGGAGAAAGTTCGGAGTGGTCTACCACTCAAAGGATGTTTGGATGAAACGATGTAAACCACTCACTGGACGGTTGTTGGATGAACTATAGATGCATTTCACCACTCATCCACTCTGATTGCAAGAGTTCGACTGAGAGGGTACGGTTCTAAGGAGAGCAGCTATTACAGTGGTCCAATCACAAATACCAATCCAAACTCCTTGTCACCCATCAGAAGGCTCTCCCAAACACATTCTAAGGCAAGAAGGTGAAAACCAACATTTGGGCAGGGGGGGGGGGGTGCTGACATGGATAACAATGAAAATTTTCATACCTCAGGTTCATGGCTTTGAAATTCTGTCTTGTACCGGAACTCTGGATGCCGACTAACATGATAGTCCATCATTTCTAATTCTCTTCGACTTCCAACAGGCTGAAAAGTACATATATAACGAATAGATAAAAGAACAACACTGAGTACATCAAATCACTCCATTTTTAAAGAAAAATGTAAAATTAGCCTTCCAGTGATTCCCGGTGCACCAGTGGGGTCCTCCAACTTTAACAACTTTGAATGAAACATATGAAATCAAGTAATGCTGCAATTAAGTGATTTTTATGTTTGCAATCAGAAGTCATTGCTAAACTAGTTAGTACTCATGCCTTTTTTGAAGACGTGGCATCAACAAGATGACGACAATGTATATTATATCCCAGTTGCCACCACCAGACTCAACTCTGGTGAAAAAACCACCGTGGCCACCTTCTACTCACTACATTTGTGAAATCTAGGAAAAATAGAAGCAAGAACAACACAGAGAACTGAGGATACTACTACCACCAAAACTCAATATCTGGAATGCTCCCTCTCCATTTCAAATCTGTCCACTGAAGTTTGTAATCGGATCTCTGTCTTCTATATCTTGAAAAAACAAAAATTTAATGCATGTATTTTGATTTTAAACTTCTCTCTCTCTCTCTCTCTAATATAACTCCAATATCTTCACCTCATTTCTTGTGTCTCCTTCTATACTAATGTCACACAATCCCCAGTCAAAGCATGCTTCCTAAACCCCTGCACTCGACACTAAATCTCTAATTGTTACACCTTCTCACTGTTACAGCCACCAGCGGCCATGTAACCCCCACTTCTCTCTGCTGCTCTGCTTTTTATTTGTCCATGATTCACCACACTGGGAAAGAAAAGAAAAAGAAGCGGAAAAAACATAAAAGGAAAAAAGAAAAGTATGTGATGAACTGGCAGGTTTAGGCAGTTATTTGGTTATGATTTGGCAAGGATTAGGTGGTGATGCGGTGACCTGAAGGTCACAAGCTGCTACAGGTAAAAACAGTTTAACAGCATTATATATTGGGTTGGATTGTGTATTTAGATATTGTTAATTTTATGAAGACCAATATCTACTTTGAAAAGACTTGGAGGGCTTATTTCACCCTTTTCCACAAAAAAATATCAAAATTAAAAAACTACCTCCTTTGTATCTGTCCTCTCAAATAATACCACTCTACCCCCACGGTCACCAGTAGCAAGATGGTCACCAGTTTTATCAAATTCAATGGCAGAGATGATATCAACTGCATATCAATGAGAAGTAACATATTTGAGTTTCTCATCAAATCAAATTGCTACAAATTAAAAAAACATAACATAGATGTTTACAGAAATCAAACAACACTGTAAAACTGCAGATCTTGTCGGGATTCTTTCATAAAATTGCGCCATATGAGCTCTGGATTTAATTCATTGCATAATTTATATTGGTTTCTACATTAAGTACAAAACAGAAAATATCTTCAAGACTCTTCACTGGTCTCAGATACTGAAGTACTGCTAGTGAACTATGTATACACCACAGATAACTTTGGCCATTGTTTGGATAAGATGTTCAACCGCTCAACTTATTTATTCATTCATTCTTTGTGACTAAAAGAGTGAAGTTTAGGCAATTTATAGGCAGATGTGTCAAAGCTGGAGAGGAGAATGAGAGAGAAATAAATACAAATACACATGCACGAACACTCACTTTTTATACAAGTTAATGTTACACAAGCTCTATGAATTAGCACTAGGGGCGGGGCATAGAACAAGATCGAAGGGAGAAAGAGTAATATTCCCTCCGTCCCAAAATGGATGTCATGATCCATTACTCATGGGTAAGACTTTATCTTCGTTCTTTGCCTATTTTGGTGACTGATTTGGTAAAATAATATTATCATGTCACTTATTGTCTTGTAGATCTTTTGATGTAGATTTTAAATATATGAATTTTATTTTTAAATTCTATACAAATATTTAAATAAATTGAATTGAAAATAATTTCAGTCAAACATTGTTAACCGTAAAGTGACATCCATTTTGGGACGAAGGGAGAATGAATATCAATAAGCAAGCACATGTAAACTCCGTTTCATGGTTTGATAATACGGTTAGCCTTTAGACATCAACTTGAAAAATAACAATTTAAACCAAAAGCAACAGGTTACATTAAAGCCATTGCCACTTGAACTCACAATTCAAACCATCAAAAAATTGCATTATAGTATGGTATTCAAGAGAGTGGGCATGGAGCAACCCTTGTGAATATGATAGAAAGGTGAAACAACCAGCGGAGAGGTCATATTTGTGTTTAAATAAGAGGACATTTATGCCTAGCTCCAACGCCAATGAGCTTAATACATGCTCCGCAACTCTCTTTTAAGGAAATACAAAATCAATTGAAAAGAGGTCTAGAAAGAAATCCAAAACTCTCAGTTTTCAAAAATCAACCCAACCGCATAAGGGGGGAAGGGGAGAAAGACATTGAGTTTAACTATAAGCTCAATTAGCGTCAATTGAAAACAGCTGATGCCTCTTATAGATTAATCAAAGAACACATGCAAATAAGGCAATCCAACTTGAAAACTAATCAGCTACTTGAATTGGCGAACGAAGATCAGATAAGAAGCAAGGAACAACAAACTCTAGTCAGCACAATAAAACCAAGCAGACTAAGGATCGGAAGGCACAAACCATGGGCATAGAGCTAAGAAATATACATATATATACCTTCCTGTACCTCCTCTCCGGCAGTACGTTCCCCGAACACCTGCGAAAATTTCCACTCCAGAGGCTGGGGCGGTCCGCCGGAAGTCTGGACATCCTCCCCTCCCAGGCCACCATCACCGCCGTTAATCATGGCCTCACTAAGAATCAAACGCAACAAGAGCAACAGGCCGGGGAAAAATCGGTATTACAAGAGAATCTCGAGAGAGAACAGAAAGCAGACTCTCGTCGCAAGCTGCTAGACCACTAATCTCACTGCCACCAAAACAGAAAAACAAAAGAAGATAAATAAAAAAAACTAAATCGCCTTGAAAGAGGCGGTCTGCTTCACAGAGAAGATGACGTCGGATTCGGATTCAACCATTACGAGTCCAAGAAACCATCAACAACGACGCATGGCCTCCAAGCACCACCACCAGATTGAGATTCCCTCCCTCTCTCTCTCTCTTTCTATTTCTATCTCTCTATCTCTCTTCTTCTTCTCTCATGGAATATGGGGCCGAGGACAAGAATGGAAATCTGGAGTGGAGCTAATAAGCACAGCAAACCGTTCGTTGCCTTAATGAGAACCAAGCCCAAAATTCTCTCTCCTCCCATTTTTTTTTAACGACAAAAGAAATGAAGGATATGACATTTTCTTGTCCCAATTATATGGGTGCCACCAAAATTTGCACTCCTCTCCAAAAAGCATGCACAGTTTTTTTTTTGGTACAAAAAAGCATTTACAGTTTAATGTCCCTAACATGAAAAACAAAGTAACTAATTGGGATAAAAATTGTTATGGTCCGTCTAGTACACGAAATTGACATAATTGAAATTGAATTAAGAGTTGATTTCTTTTGAAGTGATTTAGAAGGATTTGATTCTTCAATTCTAATTTATTTTTGACATTTTTAATTTCAAATCTATAACTTGGTGCTACCAAACAACGTAATTGGAAATATCGTCCTCAATCCTAATTCTATGGTTTGAATTTTTTTGTGCCAAACAAAGCCTTAAATGAAAACGTCCATTCTTTGTACTCCCTATCATAGTATTTTTTAAAAAAAATCATACTCCTATTTAAATTTAAAAATTTGACACCAAGTGATATATACATATATGCACACACAAGCACACACACACATATATATAGTTATTGTTTGTGACGCATAGACAATTATTATCTGTATATATTTTTAAAATACTGTGACAAACTTGATAGTTTCTAGCATTTTTGTTAGAGTATATACGTAAAGTCCATTCCATTTTTTTCTATACTTTTTCACGCAACACTTTTTCATTTTTCATTAAAAAGAAATTCTCATTAAGATAGTGAACATTTACTTATCAATTATCACCATCATTTTTAAGTCTAAAAAATGTGTACAACCGTCATAACATTTATTTTTTAGTTATATTATTATTCTTGGAAACAACTTCTCTACTTTCAAGAAAGAGTAAAGTCTGTATACGTACAACTTCTCAAGATTCTACGCTAGTGAGCTTCAATTGTGTTACTGTTAATTGTTTAGTTATATTATTATGTGCAATCGCAATATTTCCTTAATAATATAGTGTGATGGCAAATGAAGCTCCTCATGATCAGGTAGTGATTATGCGATGGGGGAGGACCAAGCCCAAAAGGGAGCTCCACTACGTAATCTTTAAATCATAATCATAAAAAAACAATATGGTGTAAAGGGATCAATACTTTCACTTCAAAATTGCCTACTCTTAATTTCAGCATACAAATGCATTATCATTATTATTATTATTCTTTAGCTACCACTACAAAAACAAGTTTGGAGTGTAAGAATGATCAAAAGGTGGCACATTGGTCATGGCTAGCCTTAAAACTGAGTGTCCTTTGGTTGTCGTCTACAAGGTCATAGTAGAGAACATGGTCCATCTGCGACTTCACCCCGAAGATGGGCATGTTAATGTCGTCCGTCTCCGAAACCAGCGTCACACACACCACCCCATTCCCCCATTCCTCGTACACGCCCTTCGGCGAAAGCTCCACGTCAGCATTCCCCGCGAAATGCGCCACGATCCTCGGACGCCGCCCCACTTCCACCCCCGATTCATTGTAACACAACTGCCCGTACTCGTTCTTCGTCATTGGCGCCCCAATTGCTTTCCTCATCTCCTTCTCAAACGCGCCGTAAAGCTCAAATGGGAGGTAGGTGTAATACGTCCCGGTGGCCGCGACAATGGTCGCATTCCCAAACCAATATGTGTGCAAAGGCTTCTCTAGCAATAGTCTTTTGTTCCCGACGCTCAAAGTCTCGAGCGTGAGCCAATACCCAAAGTTACCTATTATTCTCGCAGCTGACAACATATGGAAAGTCTTCATAATACTTCATCCGTCTTAAAAAGTTTTACACATTTTGACTAAAGTGAAAATTAAGGGAGAGATAATTTTGTATTGACTTTCCAAAAATAACTTTGATTTGATGTATAAAAGTAGGATATGATGTGTAGATTATAAGAAAAAAGGTATGATGTGATAGGTAGGGTTTGAAAAAGTAAGAGATAAAAGTAATTTTTTTAATAGAAATGGATATATAGAGGATTATGGGACGCAATTTTTTTGAAAGGTGTAAATCTTTTTGGGACGGAGGGAGTATTTATTAAAGAATATTACTCTTCCACTAAGAGAAATCAAAACACAGTGTTTCAAAAAGAAAAGAAATATTTGCACTAAATAGCACTAAAACTTAGGTCATTTCCCTAAATAGCACTTAAATTGTTTTATTCCCTAAATAGCACTTGATAATGTCCATAATGTTTAGTGATGACCAATATTTACTTGAATAATGACTAATGCATTATGACTAAAAGTGCTATATTGGAAAGAAAAACACATGTGGTGCTATTTAGGGAAAATCATTATGTTTTAGTGCTATTTAAGTAAATTCTTCTTTCAAAAATAAAATACTCCCTCCGTCCTATATTTAATTTCCCGGTTTGACCGGTACTCATTTTTAAGGATGTGTAAAATTTACTCTGACTTTCCATATATGCCCCTGCCTTTTGCACTTTTGTTGTACTCCATTTAAAAATAAAGAAAAAAAGTTATCATCCAGATCTACCGTGTGCTCCTCCATCTCCATCCTTCTCCTCCACCATTAACATCACCATCAAGTGGATTTTATCAAAAGCTTCACCTTAGCCAGTGCTGCTCCGTGGCCATTTCAAAAGGCAGATCTGAATCTCCTTCACAGATCTGATGTGGAGTCATAATTACAGATCCAATTTGCTCATGGAGGCTTGCTTTTCCGATGTCGATACCAGTTTCAATCGTGAGAAATCAAAATCGAAAAAGAAAAGGAAAATGGAATTGATAAAAAGAAGGAAATCAAGATCGAAGAGAAAGTTGAGTTCTAAATCAAAAGAGAAAGTTGAGTTCTAAATCAAAAGAAAAAAGAAATAGATTACGAAATTGCCCATGTGCAAAACCTTGTTCATTGCTAAAGTTGTTGAATTGTTGCCCATGAAAACGAATCCAAAGGAGTACTATGAACATGTCATTCTTGCAGCTCATTAGATAAGGAGATGGAAACGAGAGAGGATCTTTGTTGGAAAAAAAGGATAAGTTGTGGGGGTATTGTTGTCATTCAATACAAAAAAGACTTTAGGATGGAGGGAGTATATAGGAAGACTTAATTGACCTCTTTGTCGTCCATACCTAGAGAGCTATCCAATGGAGTGGAAACGACGCCGTTCGGATCCGTGATCACGGCATCGGGGCCGAATGCAATGCGGGATGAGATGTTGGGTGAGGATGAGAAGCAGTGGGCGAACTTCCCGGCTACCTGCGTGGGAAGCTGTGTGATGATGGAGACCGGGGAAAGGCTGAGCCCCATGATGCCGGAGATGGCGCCCTGGAAGCCGGTGTCGCTACTATTGTGGGCACAGCCGAAGTTGAAGTCCGGGAAGGAGACGCCGCCCAGGGAGATAGTGTCTGTGGCCACGTTCCCTTCGGTGTACGTCTTCCCGAGGTATTCGACCAGAAACCGGCAAAGGCTCCGGGAGGACGAGGTATTGTTATGATCATCATCACAATAGAGACCGCGGTTGTAGGCGCAGAAGGTGGAGTTGCATAGAGAGGGCTTGTAGGAGGAGCTCCTCGTGGGGTCAAACAGGGGCGTGTTTTGCGGGAAGCAGTTGGTGCATGGGAGGCACTGTGTCCACGTCAGGTCGCTTCCCGTGTCTATCAGGACGGAGGTCTCCACGGGCGGCGTGCCGACGGAGATCTTCACGGTGTATTCTCCCACGGCGGGGGTCAAGTTGGTGGCGAAGAACTCATTGTTCGCTGCCGCCGCCGCCGTCAGGGAGTTGTGCTTGGATGAGAGGTAGGCGGCGCGGGAATGGGAGCGGCGGGCGGCGTCTGCGAGGGATTGAAACCTGGACTTGGAAGGGTCGTAGAAAGGCGACGCAGGCGAGTCGCGGTGGGTGAGGTCGGCGGTGAAGCCGTGGCTTTGATGTGCACAGAGTTGCAGAGTCAAAGCAAGAAATAGTAATAAGCCGGCCATTTTTTCTTTCTTCTTCTATTTGAGGCGATGGTAATTAGGCTATAATTAGTGTGTGTTTATATATGGCGCGATATGAATAATTGAATAGTCATATAGTAGTAATGCCTAATTAAATAAGGCAAATTAATTAATGAATTCCAAAAATAAATTAAACTCTGGCCTCCCTGTCCTATTCAAGCGGCAATCATGCAATATATTCCATCATTTTATTGCACATAATTTTTTTTACTCCGTAGCTTACCTATTTTACGTTTATAGACCTTCCGTTCCAAAAATTCGGTCCCGTTTCATTTTTTGTGTATTCCATAAAATACTTCTATCCACATCTAAAATACATACAATTTACCATATTTACCCTTTATTATGGGTAGAAGGCATTTTGGAAGTTTTTTGACATTTAAGACGATATAGTAGTCTTAAATGCCTACAATTTACCATATTTACCTTTTATTATGGGTAGAAGGCATTTTGGAAGTTTTTTGACATTTAAGACGATATAGTAGTCTTAAATGCCTACAATTTACCATATTTACCCTTTATTATGGGTAGAAGGCATTATCGGTTGCTATATATTCTAGACTAGATAAAAAATCGAGTTAAATGAACAAGTCATTGGGTATGAACTTTCATGTGGACAACCGTCGGGACTAGGCTTCTAGGGACAACCATAAAAATATACTCCCTCCGTCTCGGAGTATTCGTCCAGTTTTGACTTTTGGAACTGTTCATTTAAGCACTTTGACTCATCAAATTCTCTCAATGTGTAAGCCTAAATATAGTCATGTGTGATCTTGTTTGATTTGTCTTAATATATAGATTATTAATATATAATTTCTATAATTTTTTAATATATACAAACTACAAGATAAAATGGATTAAAGAAGTGTATTGGATGGTGTGTAAAAATGTTCTTAATCGAACACATTTCTTAAAGAAGTGTATCAAAATGTTCATCGTCTCACTTAGGAGTTAGTTCTTAATCGAACACATTTCTATTTACAATCACCCATAGACTCGCATTGGGCCGTTTATATTTTAGTCCGAAACAATTGTTGTAAACTCCTTTAGCTTCTTTTTTCCAATGATGAAGGACCTGTTTGAGAATAGCTTTAGAGATTATTATTAGCGTTTTGGATAAGATTCAAATGGTGCAGATTATTTTGAAAACACTAACGCTAAACACTTCTTATAAATAAGTTTTTCAAATCGCATTGTTAACGCTAACTTCTAACATTATGCCCGAATACAAAAACAAAAAATGGAAAAAGATTAAATACAGAAACTTTGTTTTGGAATAACATTTTAAATTGGTATTCATATTTAGATGATTATTGTGTAATAGAATTATTAGTGAAAATAACATTTTAAATAGTTGATTTTTTGAAAACATTAAAATAAAACAGCATCTTTAAATATGTCTTTCAAAATGTTAAGGTCAAAATGTTAAATTTGTTACAGTAAAAATAAGGGGAAAAGTTGGGAGGCAAAGCCGAATATTCCCGCGCACATTCACCAAGCGAAACCGAGGCTTGGCCGTCGGATCAATATACCATGCATCCGTCCGTCCGTGTCCTAGACTCGTATGCTCATAGGAGTAGTAGTAATGAAAATGGGGGAGAAATCCAAAATCCACGTAATATTCCATTGGCATCTTCGCGAGATATCCCTCCCTCCCTCCCTCTCAGGGCCACCTTTTTTCAATCGGTCGGTCTCCTCTGTATAAATAGTCTCCTCCGTCTCCTCCACTTCAATCCAACAAATCCAAATTCTTCCTTCCTGATTAAAGTCCGATCCAATTAACCACACACACCGCACCCTATCATCCATCCATCAATGGCGGCCGCCGGCAGAGTTGTGGTGGTCTTCGACTTCGACAAGACGATCATCGACGTGGACAGCGACAATTGGGTCGTCGACGAGCTGGGTTTCACCTCCTTGTTCCATCGCCTTCTTCCCACCATGCCCTGGAATTCTCTCATGGTTAGCAATTAATTCACTACATTCACTTGCTTCTTCTTCTTCTTCTTAACTGATTCCCAATTGCAAATAATGCAACGAACAAACCCAACATCTGATTAATTAAAACTCTTTTCTTGTGGGCATTTTGATTTGCAGGATACGATGATGAAGGAGCTCCGAGATCATGGGAAGACCGTCAACGACATCGAACAAGTCCTCAAACGTATTCCAATTCATCCCCGGATCGTCCCCGCCATTCGGACCGCTCATGCTCTAGGGTAATCCATCATCTTCATCTTCTATTCTTAATTACCCCATCAATTGATTAACGGCGTCCAATTTCATGGTTTGAAACTTTCAATTGAAATCTGTGTGTTTTTTTTTCTCTTATTCCTCATAAGGTGTGATTTGAGGATTGTGAGCGACGCAAACCTTTTCTTCATCGAAACCATACTGGAACATCTCGGGATCAAGGAATGCTTCTCGGAGATCAACACAAATCCCAGCCGTGTCGACTCAGAAGGTCGTCTCAGAATATTTCCTTTCCACGATTTCCACTCTTCTCCCCACGGGTGCAACAACCGTTGCCCTCCGAACATGTGCAAGGGGAAGATCATAGAGAGGATACAGGGAGATTTGGGAATGGAGGGAGGGAAGAAGAAGAAGATGATGACGACGAGGATGATCTATCTGGGCGATGGGAGTGGGGATTTCTGTCCGAGCTTGAGGCTGAGGGAAGGAGACTTCATGATGCCCAGGAAAGGTTTTCCGGTGTGGGAACTGATAAACCAGAACAGGGCTTGTTTGGAAGCAGAGGTTTGTGAATGGAGTGATGGGGAGGAGCTCGAGAGGGTTCTTCTTAAACTCATTAACAGGATCTGCTGCACCCAAGAAGAGAGTCAATTTCCTCTGCAAACGGATGATGATTATAAGTTCCAGAAGATGGAGTTGCTTAAACCTATCCCCGTGCCTTTCTAGCCAGTTACTTCTGGGAAATAGCTTTTGAGTTTTTGTGTTTGATCAAGAAAAAAACAAAGTCCATGAACCCATACATTTCATATCAACTTGTCCATTGGCTTTCACTTTTTATAATGAGTTTATTTTGAATACAATAAAGCTAAAAATATGTTTGATCTTAATATACAGTTTAAAAATCATCAGACCAAACTATATGATGCTTAAACTGAATCACATTAAAAATTAAATTTAATCGATTACTACTTCGTTTCAAGAGCTTATAAACCCTTTATTTTTCTCTTTTCAAGTGGACAGCCAAGTCATTTTAAATCTAACTCGTTAACTACTAGTAATTATATTCTCATGCCCCTGAAATGAATATTTGAGCGGCAACACCTATATGACTTTGAAAGACGAAGAGTCGAGTTAAATGGGCCACGTGTCGTTAGCTATGTATTCCATACGGATAACTGGTCCTAAAGGCTAGTGTCGTTGGGAATAAACGTCTAAACGGACATTTTGATGAATAAGAAAGCGCAAAACTTGATTTGATGCCATGAGAAATTTAATTATTTAGAATGAGTTAAGGGTCACTAGACTGAGCCAAGATATTTGAGCTGATTCATATTAAAGATTGAATCTAATCGATTATTAGTTTAAACCAAAAGCTTATAAATCTATTATTTTTCTTTTCAAATCATGTCTTATATGTGATATCTACTTCTTAACAAAAATAAAAAAATATTGAAATCGTGTCGATTTAAAATTTAAAAAATGTTAAAAACTGAAAAATAAAGTGTTTTATATTTTAATTAGATAAATTATGAATAGTATATGAGATAAAAATTTAGAGAATTTTACAGTTGATAAAATCAAGAATTTTTATTTTAAAGTGTCAAAATTCTTTATTTTAATCTAGAAACATTATTTTTCTTTATTTTTTTATCACTCCGTAGTTACTAACACATATGTAGTATTTAATAGCTTACAATCATCATTAAAAAACGTCATGTAATTTGCTTAGTTGAAAATTCAGAGTATTAGCATTAAATTGAGCCATTTTCTGAGAACAATGATGTAAATTATTTGATTCCGGAGTATTAACGTTAAATCATAAATTTTTTGGAGTATTCGTGTAGATTTTTCTATAAAAAAGATGGAGGAAAAAAGTGCTCACTCCTTTCTCAAAAACACATCTTCTTTCATTTTTTTCTTCCACTAAAACATATTTTCTCTTAAAAACCTACTTTAACCATTACTTTTTCTTACCTTACATATAACACCATATTTTTTAAAATAATCTATATATATTGTTGAAATATTAGAATAATAATATTGCTCATTGAATTATGGAGTACATGATAGAGTATATATAGGAGAGACTCCTAACAGAACTAGGAATAGAGAATGGAAACTAACTAACATACAACATCTACCACAAATAGGACTAGGAAGCTGACTAATAATGAAACACTACCATAACCAATACTACAAGAAGTACTATTAGTATTATTGTCTAACATCCCCCCTCAAGCTGAATTCTGGCTAAAGCAAGAGGAAGTTTGGACACTAGCTGGAAACTGGTAACTTTGAGAAGAGAGAAGTCTAACATGTGCCGGTGGCTACTCACGTCGTAAGAGAACGGAGAAGTGTGACGCGCGCCGGTGGCTGCTGACGTCGTTGGAGAAGAGAGAAGCCTAACGTGCACTGGTAGCTGCTAACGTTGTTAGAGAAGAGAGAAATTGACGTGCGCTAGTAGCTGCTGACGTCGATGAAGAAGAGAGAAGGTTGACGTGCGCTTGTAGCTGCTGACGTCAAAGAAGAATAGAGAAAGCTACTGGAGGTGCCTGTTGGACTGAAGATCCTTGACATTCTTTGTCTTTTTCTTGGATCCGGGCAATGCCCTATTTCTTTCTTGAAGGGGTGTAGAGGTATTCTTTCCTCTTTCACTACTTCCCTTCTTGGCTTTGCTTTTGTGTTTTTTTGAAATTTTATTGGTTAACAAAGGATAAAGAGAAGAAACACTGATGATTAGAATGAGTGATTTGAAAGAGAAAAAAGGGGATTAAGAATTGGTGATGAAGAAAAGATCTAGGTCTAAGAATCTTCGATAGTGAATTGTAGAGAAACAACTATCTTTTTTTTNTTTTT